AATGGGGTGCTATGGGGTGAGAACGGGGCGCTATGGGTGAGAATAGGGTGCTATGGGGTGAGAATGGGGGGCTATGGGGTGAGAACGGGGTGCTATGGGGTGTGGGGCAATAGGGATGGAGATGGATGGGATGTGGGGATGGGGACATGGGGATGGGGGTGACTGGGACATGGGGCCTCCATAGGAGGAGAGGGGACCCCAGGGGACCCATGGGGACACAGAGACCCCATAGAAGGAGAAGGGACCCATAGAGACCCCATAGAAGGAGAAGGGACCCATAGGGACCCCATAGAAGGGGAGGGACCCATAGGGACCCCATAGAAGGAGAAGGGACCCATGGGGACCCCACAGAAGGACAGGGGACCCATGGGGACACGGGCACCCCATAGAAGGAGAAGGGACCTCAGAGGATCCATGGGGCTACAGAAACCCCATAGGGGGAGAAGGGACCCATAGGGACCCCACAGAAGGAGAAGGGACCCATGAGCACCCCATAGAAGGACAAGGGATCCATGGGGACACAGGCACCCCATAGAAGGTGAAGGTACCCATAGGGACCCCATAGAAGGAGGAGGGACTCATGGGCACCCCATAGAAGGAGAGAGGACCCCAGGGGACATTGGGACCCCATAGAAGGAGATGGGACCCACGGGGACCCCATAGAAGGAAAGGGGCCCCCAGAGGACCCATAGGGGCCCCATAGAAGGAGAGGGGCACCCATAGGGCCAAGAGGGGACGCCGATGGAAGAGGGAAAAGGGGACCCAGGGGCAGCAGGGCCACGAGTGACGGCGAATGGGGATGGATAGGGATGGGTGCAGGAGGAGAAGGGACCCATAGGGACCCATAGGCACCCATAGGCACCCATAGGGCTAAGAGGGGACTCTGATGGAAGTGGGAAAAGGGGACCCAGGAGCAGCAGGGCCACGAGTGACAGCAAATGGGGATGAACAGGGATGGGTGCAGGAGGAGAAGGGACCCATAGGGACCCATAGGCACCCATGGGCACCCATAGGCACCCATAGGCACCCACGGGCACCCATAGGGCTAAGAGGGGACTCTGATGGAAGAGGGAAAAGGGGACCCAGGAGCAGCAGGGCCACGAGTGACAGCAAATGGGGATGGACAGGGATGGGTGCAGGAGGAGAAGGGACCCATAGGGACCCATAGGCACCCATGGGCACCCATAGGCACCCATAGGGCCAAGAGGGGACGCCGATGGAAGAGGGAAAAGGGGACCCAGGGGCAGCAGGCCCACGAGTGACAGCAAATGGGGATGGACAGGGATGGGTGCAGGAGGAGAAGGGACCCACAGGCACCCATAGGCACCCATGGGCACCCATACTTGAAGCGCTCGGGCGTGAGGAAGTTGAGGAGGTGGAAGAGCTCCTCCAGGTTGTTCTGCAGCGGGGTCCCCGTCAGCAGCAGCTTGTGCTCGATCTTGTACCCGTTCAGCACCCGGAAGAACTGGGGGGGGGGGGCACCCATGGGTGAAGCACCCATAGGTGTCATCTGTCCCCGTCCCCCCCACCTCAGCACCCATAGGAGCGGTGTCCATAGAGCCGCTTGCATGGGACCCATAGACCCTCTCCCCAAGGAGCTGAGTGGCTGGACACCCCTCATGGGGTATCCAAGGCTTTGGGTGCACCCCACGATAGGGACCCAGGTCTATGGGTGCCCCCCCTGTAATGACCCAAGTCTATAGGTGCCCCCCTCATAGATCTATGGTTGCCCCCCCATAAGGATCCAGGTCTATGGGTGCCCCCCTCAGAGGGACCCAGGTCTATGGGTGCCCTCACTTCAGGAACCTATATCTATGGGTGCCCTCGCTATAAGGACCCATGTCTATAGGTGCCCCCGCTATAGGGACCCATGTCTATGGGTGCCCCCCCTATAAGAACCCATGTCTATGGGTGCATCCACCATAGGAACCCAGGTCTATGGGTGCCCCCACTATAGGGACCCATGTCTATGGGTGCCCCCCCTATAAGAACCCATGTCTATGGGTGCCCCAGCTATAGGGACCCATGTTTACGGGTGCCCCCGCTATAGGGACCCAGGTCTATGGGTGCTCCTACCATAGAGGACCCATGTCTATGGGTGCCCCCACTATAAGGGCTGATGTCTATGCGTGACTGCCCTATAAGGACCCAGGTCTACGGGTACCCCCACTATAAGGACCCAGGTCGATGGCTGCTCCCCCTATACAGGGACCCACACCTATGGGTGCCCCCCCATGGGGACCCATGTCGATGGGTGTCACCCTGTAAGAACCCATATCTATGGGTGCCCCCCCATAAGGACCCATGTCTATGGGTGCCCCCCCATAAGGACCCCTATCTATGGGTGCCCCCCCATAAGGACCCCTATCTATGGCTGTCCCCCCTATAAGAACCCCTATCTATGGGTACCCCCCCATAAGGACCCATACGTATGGGTGCCCCCCTATAAGGACCTATATCTATGGGTGCTCCCCTTATAAGGGCCCATACCTATGGGTGCCTCCCCATAAGGACTCATACCTATGGGTGCCCCCCCGACAATGACCCCCATCTATGGGTGTCCCCCCTACAATGACCCCTATCTATGGGTGCCCCCCCTACAATGACCCCTATCTATGGGTGCCCCCCCATAAGAACCCATACCTATGGATGCCCCTCATAGGGACCCCTATCTATGGGTGCCCCCCCATAAGGACCCATGCCTATGGGTGCCCCCCCACAGGGACCCATACCTATGGGTGCCCCCCCTACAATGACCCCTATCTATGGGTGCCCCCCCATAAGAACCCATACCTATGGGTGCCCCCCCCACAGGGACCCATATCTATGAGTGCCCTCCCTACAATGACCCCTATCTATGGGTGCCCCCCCTATAGGGACCCATGCCTATGGGTGCCCCCCCTACAATGACCCATATCTATGGGTCCCCCCCCTACAGGGACCCATGCCTATGGGTGCCCCCCCTACAATGACCCATACCTATGGGTGCCCCCCCCATAAGGACCCCTATCTATGGGTGGCCCCCCTACAATGACCCATACCTATGGGTGCCCCCCCCCCCCAGGGACCCATGCCTATGGGTGCCCACCTTGGACTGGTTGTTCTTGAGCCGATGGGCCTCGTCCACGACGAGGCAGGCCCAGCGGATGGAGCCCAGCGCCGCCTGGTCGATGGTGATGAGCTCGTAGGAGGTGAGCAGCACGTGGAACTTCACCTGCGCCTCCCGCTGCGCCCCACGCGTCAGCACGGCCGGGGGGCAGCCCCGCAACAACACCCAGCAACAGCCCCACAACAGCCCCGCAACAGCCCCACAACAACCCCGCAACAACACCCAGCAACAGCCCCACAACAGCCCCACAACAGCCCCGCAACAACACCCAGCAACAGCCCCACAACAGCCCCGCAACAGCCCCACAACAACCCCGCAACAACACCCAGCAACAGCCCCACAACAGCCCCACAACAGCCCCACAACAGCCCCACAACAACACCCAGCAACAGCCCCACAACAGCCCCGCAACAGCCCCGCAACAACACCCAGCAAAAGCCCCGCAACAGCCCCACAACAGCCCCTCAACAACCCAGCAACACCCAACAGCCCCGCAACTACCCAGCAACAGCCCCACAACAACCCAGCAACACCCGCACAACACCACCCAGCAACACCCACATAACACCACCCAGCAACAGCCCCACAGCAACCCAGCAACAGCCGCACAACACCCAGCAACAGCCGCACAACACCCAGCAACAGCCCCACAGCAACCCAGCCACAGCCGCACAACCCAGCCACAGCTCCACAACAGCCCCCCCCAAAAAAAACAGCCAACACCACCACCCAACAAGTCCCACAACAGCCCCACAGCAACACCCCACAACAGCCCCACAGCAACACCCAACAATAGCCCCACAACATCCAACAGCCCCACAGCAACACCCAGCAACAGCCCCACAACAGCCTGACACCCAGCAACAGACCCAAAACAACCCACAACACCCAGCACAGCCCCTGACACCCAGCAACAGCCCAACAAGAGCCAACAACAAACACACCAACACCACCCCAACACCCAACAATGCTCAGCAACAGCCAACAGCCTAGCAACAGCCTAGCAACAACCAACAACAGCCCCACACCACCTTGACACCCGGCAACACCCAGCAACAGCCCAAACACAGCCCAGTGACAGTCCCATGAAACCCAACAACAGCCCAGTGACACCCCAACACCACCCAGCAACAGCCCAACACCACCCAACAGCCCAACAATAGTGTGATATCTGGCAACACTGACACCAAAGAGACCCACACCACCACCCAACAGCAGCCCAATGACAGCCCAACTACAGCCACACAACACCCTGACACCCAGCAACAGCCAATAGCCACAACAGCTCAACACCCAACACCAGCCCAATGACACCCCGAGAGAGCAAAAACAGCTGGATACCCAACACCAGCTCAATGACACCCAGTAACAGTCAAACACCTCAACAACACACCAACACACACCAACACCCTGACATGCAGCAACAGCCAACAGCCCCACAACACCCTGACACCCAGCAACAGCCAACAGCCACACAACACCGAAACCCAGCAACAGCCACACAACACCCTAACACCCAGCAACAGCCACCAGCCTCACAACAGCCCCACAACACCCTGACACCCAGCAACAGCCAACAGCCGCACAACAGCCATACAACACCCTGACACCCAGCAACAGCCACCAGCCCCACAACAGCCCAACACCCAGCAACAGCCCACCCCCACAACAACACCCCCCAACCGCCCCGCAACAGCCGGCACCCACATTACTCCCTCCAGCCCCCCCCAAAGCGAGCCCCATGGTGACCCCCACCTTCATCTTGAAGGCCTTCTTGCCCCCCTTCATGGCGTTGTCGTCGAAGGAGAACTCGTTCTCGCGGATGATGGCCCGGCTGTCCTTGTCCCCGGTGTAGGTGACCACGTAGAAGGCGGGCGCCCACATCTGGAACTCCCGCTCCCAGTTGATGATGGTGGAGAGCGGGGCGCTGACGAGGAACGGGCCCTTGGTGTGGCCCTGGGGGACAGGGGGGACACATGGGGACACGGGGACATGGGGTGGCCCTGGGGGATGGGGGACGGGCATGGTCCTGGGGGGCTGCAAAGGGGGTGGGGGTAGGGGGGTGACAACAGGGATGAAGGGGGTGACACCAAGGAGCAAGCGGGTGACAACGGGGAGGAAAGGGATGACACCAAGAACCGTGTGGGTGACACCAAGGAGCAGCGGGGTGACACGGGGACGAAACCAGGAGCCACTGGGTGACACCAGGGACCACCTGGATGACGCCAGGACCACTTGGGTGCCACAGGGACTAACCCAGGACCAACTGGATGACACCAAGGACCAATTGGATGACACCAAGGACCAACTGGATGATAACACAGACCAACTGGATGACACTGAGGACCACTTGGATGACACCAAGGACCAACTGGATGACACCAAGGACCAACTGGGTGACACCAAGGACCACTTGGATGACACCAAGGACCAACTGCATGACACCAGGACCACTTGGATGACACCAAGCCCCAACTGGATGACACCAAGGACCAATTGGATGACACCAAGGACCACTTGGATGACACCAAGCCCCAACTGGATGACACCAAGGACCAACTGGATGACACCAAGGACCAACTGGATGACACCAGGACCACTTGGATGACACCAAGGACCACTTGGATGACACCAAGGACCAACTGCATGACACCAGGACCACTTGGATGACACCAAGCCCCAACTGGATGACACCAAGGACCAATTGGATGACACCAAGGACCACTTGGATGACACCAAGCCCCAACTGGATGACACCAAGGACCAACTGGATGACACCAGGACCACTTGGATGACACCAAGGACCACTTGGATGACACCAAGGACCAACTGCATGACACCAGGACCACTTGGATAACACCAAGCCCCAACTGGATGACACCAAGGACCAATTGGATGACACCAAGGACCAACTGGATGACACCAAGAACCAACTGCATGACACCAGGGCCACTTGGATGACAGGGCCACTTGGATGACACCAAGGACCAACTGGATGACACCAAGGACCCACTGGATGACACCAGGACCACTTGGATGACACCAGGACCACATGGGTGACCCCAGTGACCACCTGGATGACAACAAGCACCAACCGGATGACATCAAGCATCAGCTGGATGACACCAAGGACCAACTGGATGACACCAGGATCACCTGGATGACACCAAGGACCAACTGGATGACACCAAGGACCCATTGGGTGACACCAAGACCACTTGGATGACACCAGGACCACTTGGATGACACCAAGGACCAGCTGGATGACACCAAGGACCAGCTGGATGACACCAAGGACCAGCTGGATGACACCAAGGACCCACTGGATGACACCAAGGACCCATTGGGTGACACCAAGACCAATTGGATGACACCAAGACCACTTCGTTGACACCAAGACCAACTGGATGACACCAGGACCACTTGGATGACACCAAGGACCAGCTGGATGACAGCAGGATCACTTGGATGACACCAAGGACCAGCTGGATGACACCAGGATCACTTGGATGACAACAGGACCACTTGGATGACACCAAGCCCCAACTGGGTGACACCAAGGACCAATTGGATGACACCAGGTTCCCTTGGATGACACCAAGCCCCAACTGGGTGACACCAAGGACCAACTGGATGACACCAAGCCCCAACTGGGTGACACCAAGGACCAGACAGATGACACCAAGCCCCAACTGGGTGACACCAAGGACCAGACAGATGACACCAAGCATCAACTGGATGACCTCAAGACCAGTTGGGTGATCCTAGGACCTCTTGGGAGAGCCCCAATGACCCCTCAGATGACACCAAGGACCACTTGGATGTCCCCAGGACCAGTCGGGGGGGCACAGGGCCTAAACCTAGGCCCACTTGGGTGACCCCAGGCGCAGGCTCACCTCCTTGTAGAGCGAGTAGAGGAAGACAATGGTCTGGATGGTCTTGCCCAGCCCCATCTCATCGGCCAGGATAGTGTCGGTGCTCTGGGCCCAGGAGAAGCGGAGCCAGTTGAGGCCTTCGAGCTGGTAGAGGTGCAGGGTCCCCCCCGTGGCCGTGATGAACCGGGGCTGCGACTCGTACTTCACTGTGGGCTGCGGGGGGGCAACAGGGGGTTAATGTTGGGGGGCAATGGGGAGGGTGACAACAGTGGGGGGCAATGGGGAGGGTGTCAACATAGGGGGCAATGGGGAGGGTGTCAACAGTGGGGGCAATGGGGAGGGTGTCAACATGGGGGGCAATAGGGAGGGTGTCAACACTGGGGGGCAATGGGGAGGGTGTCAACATGGGGGGCAATAGGGAGGGTGGCAACACTGGGGGGCAATGGGGAGGGTGTCAACATAGGGGGCAATGGGGAGGGTGTCAACAGTGGGGGCAATGGGGAGGGTGTCAACACTGGGGGGCAATGGGGAGGGTGTCAACATGGGGGGCAATGGGGAGGGTGTCAACATGGGGGGCAATGGGGAGGGTGTCAACACTGGGGGCAATGGGGAGGTGGCGATGAGTGGGATGCCAATGGGAGAGGGTCAACAGAAGGATGTCAGTGTTGGGGGGTCAATGGTGGGGGGTCAATAGGGAGGTGGTGATGGGGAGGTGTCCATGTTGGGTGGCAACACTGGGTGTCAAGGGGTGCCAAAGTTGGGTGCCAAAGGGGAGATGGCAATGTGGGGTGTCAATGCTGGGTGTCGATGGGGGGCTGTCAGTAGCAGGGTGTCAACAGGTAGGGTGTCAGTGTTGAGGCTGGCAATGTCAGGAGTCAGTGCTGAGGGCGTCAACATGGGGTGCCAATGGGGAAGTGTCAACAATGGGTGTCGATGACGGGTGTCGATGATGGGTGTCAATGTTGGGTATCAACGATGGTTGTCAATGATGGATGTCAACAATGGGTGTCAGTGGGTGTCAATAATGGGTGTCAATGAGTGTCAACGGGGGGCAATAGGGAGGTGTCAACGATGGGTGTCAAAGTCAGGTGTCAACAATGGGCGTTAACGTTGGGTGTCAAGGTCGGTTGTCAACAACAGGTGCCAGTGATGGGTGTCAATACTGGGTGTCAATGATGGGCGTCAATGACGGGTGTCAATGATGGGTTGTCAATGACGGGTGTCAACGATGGGTGTCAACAATGGGTGTCAATGTTGGGTGTCAACGTTGGGCGTCAATGACAGGTGTCAATGATGGGTTGTCAAGGACAGGTTTCAACGATGGGTGTCAATGTTGTCTTGTCAATGATGGGTGTCAATTGGTGTCAATGATGGGGGTCAACGACGGGTGTCAATGATGGGGGTCAATGATGGGGGTCAATGTCGGGTGTCAAGAAACGGTGCCAATGGTGGGTGCCAGTGATGGGTGTCAATGGGTGTCAATGATGGGTGTCAACAATGGGTGTCAATGGGGGGTCCCAGTGCACTCACGTCATTGGTGGGCGAGTCAGGGGGTCCCTCTCCCGGCGTCTCCTTCTTCTTCTTCTTGTAGCGCCGGGGCTGGGCTGGGTCCTCCCCCATGAACACCTCCCTGGGGACGTGGGGGGGGAACAGGAGACAAGGGGGGCACACAGGGACAGGCAGCAGCATGAGGACATTGGGGGACACATGGGGACACGGTGGCTTCTGACCCATGTCCTCCATATCCCCATATCCCATATCACATATCCCATATCACATATCCCACACCCCATACGGTTTATCCCATACCCCATATCCCATATTCCATAACCCATACCCCTTATCCCATACCGCATATCCCGTTTCCCATACCCCATATCCCATATCCCATACCCCACACCCCACACCCCATATCCCATACTGCATATCCCATACCCCATATCCCATACCCCATACCCCCCACCCCATATCCCATACCCCATTCCCCATACCCTATACCAAAAACCCCCCATCCCATATCCCATACCCCATACCCCTTATCCCATACCCCATACCCTATATCCCATACCCCATACCCTATATCCCATGCCCCATACCCCATATCCCATACCCCATATCCTATATCCTATACCCTATACCCCACACCCCATACCCCACACCCCATATCCCATACCCCCCACCCCAAACCCCACTCTCCTCACCGGTGCTTCCAATAGGCCAGCTTGTGGAGGTCGTAGTCAGGGATGGGCATCTCGTCCTCCTCCCACGTGGCCTGGTCGTAGGACAGGTCCCGCCACTTGACCAGGTAATGGTACTGCCCCTTGCGGTCCACGCTGCGCCGGGGCCATGGGGGCAACGGGGACAGTGGGCATCATGGGGGACAACTGGGGTAATGGGGATAAGGGGGGCAATGGGGGTAATGGGGATAATGGGGACAATGGGTGTAATGGGGATAAGGGGGTCAATGGGGGCAATGGGGGCAATAGGGACAATGGGGATAATGGGGGTAATGGGGATAAGGGGGTCAATGGGGACAATGGGGTCAATGGGGACAATGGGGATAATGGGGGTAATGGGGATAAGGGGGTCAATGGGGACAATGGGGTCAATGGGGACAATGGGGACAAGGGGGTCAATGGCGACAATGGGAACAATGGGGGTAATGGGGACAATGGGGGCAATGGGGTAAATGGGGACAATGGGGTCAATGGGGACAATGGGGGGCAATGGGGACAATAGGGGTAACTGGGGATAATGGGGGTAATGGGCATCATAGGGGCAGTGAGGACAATGGGGAACGCTGGGCACCCACTGGGGACATCAAGCACCCACTGGGGACCCTGGGCACCCTCAGGTGACATCGAGCACCCATGAGGGACACTAGGCTCCCATTGGGGATACTGGGCACCCATGGGGGCCATCAAGCACACACTGGGGACATTAAGCATCCGTTGGGGACACTGGGCACCCATGGGTGACATCAAGCTCCCACGGGGAACAATAGGCACCCACTGGGGACACTGGGCACCCATGGGTGACATCAATCACCTACTGGGGACATGTAGCAGCCACTGGGGACACTGGGCACCAGTGCTGGGGACCAATGATGGATACTTGGGGGGGGCACCCATGGGTGCTGGGGGTGTCCTTAGGCGACCCCAGAGGTGCTCTAGGGGGGTTGCTGGGCTCAGGCAGCACCATCTATAGGCACTATGGGGGGGTCCCGAGGTGCACGTAGCACCCATGGGTGCTATAGGGGGGTCCCCAGGCGCACTTAGCACCCGTGGGTTCAATAGGGGTACTGATGCTTGGGTACCACTACCTATGTGTGATATGGGGGGGGGTCTTGGGGCTCAGATCCCACCACCTACAGGTGCCATAGAGCGGTCCCTGGAGCACCCATGGGTGCTATAGGGGGGTTGCAAGGCGCACGTAGCACCCATGGGTGCTATAGGGGGGTCCCTAGGGGAATGTAGTACCCATGGGTGCTATAGGGGGGTCCCTAGGGGAATGTAGTACCCATGGGTGCTATAGGGGGGTCCGCAGGGGAATGTAGCACCCATGGGTGCTACAGGGGGGGATGCCAGCTGCACGTAGCACCCATGGGTTCAACAGGGGTACTGCTGCTTGGGTACCACCATCTGTAAGTGATATGGGGGGGGGGGTCTTGGGGCTCAGATCCCACCACCTATAGGCGCCACAGAGAGGTCCCTGGAGCACCCATGGGTGCTATAAGAGGGTCCCCAGGTGCACGTAGCACCCATGGGGTTCAACGGGGGTACTGCTGCTTGGGTACCACCACCTGTAAGTGATGGGGGGGGGGGGGAGGGGGGGTTGGGGCTCGGATGCCACCACCTATAGGTGCCCTAGAGGGGTCCCCGCCGGGAGCACCCATGGGTGCTGTAGGGGGGTTGCAAGGCGCACGTAGCACCCATGGGTGCTACAGGGGGGTTGCAAGGCGCACGTAGCACCCATGGGTGCTATAGGGGGGTCCCTAGGTGAATGTAGCACCCATGGGTGCTACAGGGGGGATGCCAGCTGCATGGGGACCAATGCTTGGGTACCACCATCAATAAGTGTCGGGGAGGGGGGGGCTTAGGGCTCGGATGCCACCACCTATAGATGCCCTAGAGGGGTCCCCCCCCAGGAGCACCCATGGGTGCTGCTCCCCCCCATCCCACCTGTGGTTGATGATGCGGTGCACCGTCATCCACTCGGGCTTGATGCCGTAGCGGTAGAAGCGCTCCTCCATGCCCCCAAAGAGGGGGTCCCCCCCCCCGCCGCCCCCCCCTCCCCCCCTCTTCTCGCTTTTGGGGTCGTCGTCCCCGGAGCCGTAGTCCAGGGGGGGGGGCTCGTCCATGTCGTTCTTGCGCTGGTAGTTGCGGTACATCACCAGGTGGAAGATCTCCAGCTATGGGGGGGGGGGGACACGGACCCACAAGTTAGAGGGGGGACCCCTAAGTTGGAGGGGGGCACCCCTAAGTTCGAGGGGGGGGACCCCTAAGGTAGAGGGGGACACCCATAAGTTAGAGGAGGGAACCCTTAGGTAGAAGGGGGGAACCCTAAGTTAAAGGGGGGGACTTCTAAATTGGAGGGGGGACCCCTCAGTTAGAGGGGAGACCCCTAAGGTAGAGGAGGGACTCTTAAGTTGGGGGGGTGGATGCATAAGTTAGAGGGGGGGAGTCCTAAGTTGGAGGGGGGGACCCCTAAGATAGTGGGTGGGATCCCTACGTTAGAGGGGGGGGGGACTCTTAAGTTGGAGGGGGGACCCCCAAGTTAGACTGAGAGACCCCTAAGTTAGAGGGGAGACCCCTAAGTTAGAGGGGAGACCCCTAAGTTAGAGGGGGGACCTCTAAGTCAGAGGGAAGACCCCAAAAGTAGAGGGGGGACTTCTAAGTTAGAGGGAAGACCCCTAAGGTAGAGGGGAGACCCCTAAGTTAAATGGGGGCACCTCTAAGTTAGAGGGGGGGACATCTAAGGTAGAGGGGGAGCCCTAAGTTAGAGGGGGGGAACCGTAAGTTAGAGGGAGGACCCCTAATTTAGAGGGGTGACCCCTAAGGTAGAGAGGGGGACCCCTAAGTTGGAGGGCAGACCAATAAGGTAGAGGGGGGACCCCTAAGTTAGAAGGGGGGATCCCTAAGTTAGAGGGGGGGAACCCCAAGTTAGAGTGTGAGACCCCTAAGTTAGAGGGAGGGACCCCTAAGTTGGAGGAGGGACCTCTAAGTTGGAGGGGGGGCTCCTAAGGTAGAGGGGGGGACTCCTAAGGTAGAGGGGGGACCCCTAAGGTAGAGGAGGGACCCCAAGGGTAGTGGGAGAAACCCTTAAGTTAGAGGGGGGGACTCTAAAATTGGAGGAGGGACCCCTAAGTTAGAGGTGGACACCCAATCTGGGTCTATCAGGACACCCCAATATCCATCCCCCCCCACTGTCTCTATCAGCACACCCCAATATCCATCCCCCCCCACTGTCTCTATCAGCACACCCCAATATCCATCCCCCCCCACTGTCTCCATCAGGACACCCCAATACCCCCCCCATTGTCTCTATCAGCACACGCCAATATCCATCTCCCCCAATGTCTCTATCAGCACACCCCAATATCCATCCCCCCCCATTGTCTCCATCAGCACACCCCAATATCCATCCCCCCCATTGTCTCTATCAGCACACCCCAATATCCATCCCCCCCCATTGTCTCTATCAGCACACCCCAATATCCATCCCCCCCCATTGTCTCCATCAGCACACCCCAATACCCATCCCCCCCATTGTCTCTATCAGCACACCCCAATATCCATCCCCCCCCATTGTCTCCATCAGCACACCCCAATATCCATCCCCCCCCCCACTGTCTCTATCAGCACACCCCAATATCCATCCCCCCCCACTGTCTCCATCAGGACACCCCAATACCCACCTCCCCATTGTCTCCATCAGGACACCCCAATATCCATCCCCCCCCATTGTCTCTATCAGCACACCCCAATATCCATCCCCCCCCATTGTCTCTATCAGCACACCCCAATATCCATCCCCCCCCACTGTCTCCATCAGCACACCCCAATATCCATCCCCCCCATTGTCTCCATCAGGACACCCCAATATCCATCCCCCCCCATTGTCTCTATCAACACACCCCAATATCCATCCCCCCCCCCACTGTCTCTATCAGCACACCCCAATATCCATCCCCCCCCCACTGTCTCCATCAGGACACCCCAATATCCATCCCCCACCATTATCTCTATCAGGACACCCCAATATCCATCCCCCCCCCCACTGTCTCTATCAGCACACCCCAATATCCATCCCCCCCACTGTCTCCATCAGCACACCCCAATATCCATCCCCCCCATTGTCTCTATCAGCACACCCCAATATCCATCCCCCCCCATTGTCTCTATCAGCACACCCCAATATCCATCCCCCCCATTGTCTCCATCAGCACACCCCAATATCCATCCCCCCCATTGTCTCTATCAGCACACCCCAATATCCATCCCCCCCATTGTCTCCATCAGCACACCCCAATATCCATCCCCCCCATTGTCTCCATCAGCACACCCCAATATCCATCCCCCCCCATTGTCTCCATCAGCACACCCCAATATCCATCCCCCCCCATTGTCTCCATCAGCACACCCCAATACCCACCTCCCCACTGTCTCCATCAGCACACCCCAATATCCATCCCCCCCCACTGTCTCCATCAGGACACCCCAATATCCATCCCCCCCCATTGTCTCTATCAACACACCCCAATATCCATCCCCCCCCCACTGTCTCCATCAGGACACCCCAATATCCATCCCCCCCCCATTGTCTCTATCAGCACACCCCAATATCCATCCCCCCCCCACTGTCTCCATCAGGACACCCCAATATCCATCCCCCCCCCCATTGTCTCCATCAGGACACCCCAATATCCATCCCCCCCCCATTGTCTCTATCAGCACACCCCAATATCCATCCCCCCCACTGTCTCCATCAGCACACCCCAATATCCATCCCCCCCATTGTCTCTATCAGCACACCCCAATATCCATCCCTCCCATTGTCTCTATCAGCACACCCCAATATCCATCCCCCCCATTGTCTCCATCAGCACACCCCAATATCCATCCCCCCCATTGTCTCCATCAGCACACCCCAATATCCATCCCCCCCACTATCTCCATCAGGACACCCCAATATCCATCCCCCCCATTGTCTCCATCAGGACACCCCAATACCCACCTCCCCATTGTCTCCATCAGGACACCCCAATATCCATCACCCCCCCCTTGGGTCCATCCATTGCCCCCCCCAGATAAGGGGGTGCCCCCCCCCCCCCCCCATACCTGCAGCTCCTTGATCCAGGAGCAGTGCCAATAGGAGAGCCCGACCCACTTGACGAAGAATTCCCGCTCGGAGCGGCCCTGGAGCGCTTGGGGGGGCCCCTCGGGGGGGGGAGCTCCGGGGGGGGCCACGGGGGGGGGCGGCTCCCCCCATCGCCAGTACAGGATCTTCTGGACACGGCCCTTCAGCACTGGGCACTGCGGGGACAGAGATGGGGGGGTATGGGGGGGTATGGGGGGATATAGGGGGGATATAGGGGGGTATGGGGGGGATATGGGGGGGATATGGGGGGGAAATGGGGGAGTATGGGGGGGATATGAGGGGGGGAAATGGGGGGTTATGGGGGGGTATGGGGGGGTATGGGGGGGATATGAGGGGGGGAAATGGGGGGTTATGGGGGGGTATGGGGGGGTAATGGGGGCGTATGGGGGGGTAACGGGGGGATATGGGGGGTAATGGGAGGGTATGGGGGGGTATGGGGGTGATATAGGGGTGGATACGAAGGGGTATGTGGGATATGGGGGGGAATGGGGGGATATGGGGGGGAAATGGGGGGGGTATGGGGGGGTATGGGGGATATGGGGGGGATACGGAGGGGATATGGGGGGTAATGGGGGGATATAGGGGGGAAATGGGGGGGATATGGGGGTAATGGGGGGACATAGGGGGGATATAGGGGAGGAAATGGGGGGGTAATGGGATATAGGGGGGATATAGGGGGGATATGGAGAGGTATGGGGGGGTAATGGGGGGATATGGGGGGATAAAGGGGGGGATATGGGGGGGTATGGGGGGTAATGGGGGGATATAGAAGGGGATATAGGGGGGATATGGAGAGGTATGGGGGGTATGGGGGATATAGGGGGGATATAAGGGGGGATATAAGGGGGGATATGGAGGGGTATGGGGGGGTATGGGGGGATATAGGGGGGAAATGGGGGCACATGGGGGGATATAGGGGGATATGGGGGGATATGGGGGGGTAATGGGGGGATATGTGGGGATATAGGGAGGATATGGGGGCACATGGGGGGATATAAGGGGATATGGGGGGGTATGGGGGGGACATGGATCAAGGATCTCCTCTCTATCCCATGCCCCTGTATCCCCCTGTCCCATACCCCCATGTCCCTATACCCCATACCCCTGTTCCTCTATCCCATACCCCCATGTTCCTATACCCCATATCCCTGTTCCTCTATCCCATACCCCCATGTTCCTATACCCCATATCCCTGTTCCTCTATCCCATACCCCCATGTTCCTATACCCCATATCCCTGTTCCTCTATCCCATACCCCCATGTTCCTATACCCCATATCCCTGTTCCTCTGTCCCATACCCCCATGTTCCTATACCCCATATCCCTGTTCCTCTATCCCATACCCCCATGTCCCTATACCCCATATCCCTGTTCCTCTATCCCATATCCCCATGTCCCTATACCCCATATCCCTGTTCCTCTATCCCATACCCTCATGTCCCTATACCCCATATCCCTGTTCCTCTATCCCATACCCCCATGTCCCTATACCCCATATCCCTGTTCCTCTATCCCAAACCCTCATGTCCCTATACCCCATATCCCTGTTCCTCTATCCCATACCCCCATGTTCCTATACCCCATATCCCTGTTCCTCTATCCCATACCCCCATGTTCCTATATCCCATATCCCTGTTCCTCTATCCCAAACCCTCATGTCCCTATACCCCATATCCCTGTTTCTCTATCCCATACCCCCCTCTCCTCTCTATCCCATACCCCCGTTATTCTGTCCCATACCCCCATGTCCCTATACCCCCATACCCCAGGTTCCTATACCCCATACCCCCTCTCCTCTCTACCCCATACCCCATCTCCTATCCCATACCCTGTATCCCCTTATCCCATACCCCCATCTCCTCTCTACCCCACACCCCTGTCCCCCTACATCCCATACCCCTCCATCACTCTACCCCATACCCCATCTCCTCTCTACCCCATACCCCCATATCCCTCTACCCCATACCCCATCTCCTCTCTATCCTGTACCCCCCTCTCCTCTCTACCCCATACCCCTCCATCACTCTACCCCATACCCCCATATCCCTCTACCCCATACCCCCATCTCCTGTTGATCCTGTACCCCAATCTCCTCTCTACCCCACACCCGTCCCCCTACATCCCATACCCCATATCCCTACATCCCATACCCCCATATCCCTCTACCCCATACCCCATCTCCTCTCGACCCCATACCCCCATATCCCTCTACCTCATACCCCATATCCCTCTACCCCATACCCCCATCTCCTCTCTACCCCATACCCCTCCATCGTTCTACCCCATACCCCCATCTCCTCTCTACCCCATACCCCATATCCCTCTACCCCATAACCCTCCATCACTCTACCCCATATCCCCCTATATCCCATACCCCTCCATCCCTCTACCCCATACCCCCATCTCCTCTCTACCCCATACCCCCATCCCTCTACCCCATATCCCTCCATCATTCTACCCCATACCCCTCCATCACTCTACCCCATACCCCAAATCCCTCTACCCCATACCCCTCCATCACGGTACCCCATACCCCTCCATCACTCTACCCCACACCCCCCTCTCCTCTCTACCCCATACCCTATATCCCTCTATCCCATACCCCTCCATCACTCAACCCCATACCCCCATCTCCTCTTTACCCCATACCCCACATCCCTACACCCCATACCCCTCTACCCCATACCCCACATCCCTCTATCCCATACCCCATATCCCCCTACCCCATACCCCACATCCCTCTCCCCCATACCCTACATCCCTCTCCCCCATACCCCACATCCCTACACCCCATACCCCACATCCCTCTCCCCCATACCCCACATCCCTACACCCCATACCCCTCCATCCCTCTCCCCCATACCCCTCCATCCCTCTACCCCACACCCCCCTCTCCTCTCTCCCCCATACCCTATATCCCTCTACCCCACATCCCTACACCCCACACCCCACCCCCTTGCTCACCGTGCACCGGGGGCAGAGCCACTCTCCGTTGGGCACCTCAGGCAGGGGGGGGTTCAGGCAGTGGATGTGGTAGGAGGAGACGCAGGCGTCGCAGCAGAGCAGCTCCCCGCCGTCCTTGCACACGCGGCAGTACTCCATGTGGTCGTCCTCCTCCTCCTTCTCGCCTTCCTCCTCCTCCTCCTCCTCCTCCTCCTCCTCCTCCTTCGCCTCCCACTGCACACCCTCCTTCTCCTGGCCATGGGGGGGACAGCCGGCGTGAGATGGACACACAGACGTCCCATAGACACCCCAGGGGCACCCCATGGACACCCCATGGACATACAGACATCCTATGGACACCCTATGGGCACCCTATGGACACCCCATGGACATACAGACATCCTATGGACACCCTATGGGCACCCTATGGACACCCCATGGACATACAGACACCCTATGGGCACCCTATGGGCACCCCATGGACACCCCATGGACACACGGACACCCTATGGACACCCCATGGGCACCCTATGGACACCCCATGGACATACAGACATCCTATGGACACCCTATGGACACCCCATGGACACCCCATGGGCACACAGACATCCTATGGACACCCTATGGACATCCCATGGGCACCCCATGGACACCCCATGGACATAGAGACATCCTATGGACACCCTATGGACACCCCATGGACACCCCATGGACATACAGACATCCTATGGACACCCTATGGACACCCCATGGACACACAGACACGCTATGGACACCCCATGGACACCCCATGGACACCCCATGGACACCCCATGGACATACAGACATCCTATGGACACCCTATAGACACCCTAAGGACACCCTATGGACACCCTAGGGGCACCCTAGGGGCACACAGACGTCCCATAGACACCCCAGGGGCACCCTATGGGCACCCCATGGGCACCCTATGGACACACAGACACCCTATGGACACCCTATGGACACCCTATGGACACCCCATAGACACCCTATGGGCACCCTATGGACACCCTATGGACACCCCATGGACACCCTATGGGCACACAGACACCCTATGGAGACCCTAGGGGCACCCTATGGGCACCCCATGGACACCCTATGGACACCCTGGGGGGACCCTATGGACACACAGACATCCGATGGACACCCTAGGGGCACCCTATGGACACCCTAGGGGCACCCTATAGACACACAGACATCCTATGGACACCCCATGGACACCCTATGGGCACCCTATGGACACACAGACACCCTATGGACACCCTATGGACACCCTATGGACACCCCATGGACACCCCATGGACACTCCATGGACACCCAAAGCTCCTACAGACACCCTACAGACACCCAGAGCCCCTATGGACACCCAAGGACCCCTTAGAAGTCCCCCAGGGACCCCCAAACCCCTCCAGGATCCCCTTAGGGCCCCCCAAAGCACCCCAAGACCCCCCTCAGCATCCCCA